AGAGAGAGAGAGAGAGAGAGAAGTGAGAGGGGGGATTGGGGAGATGAGGAAGAGAGGAGGCTGGGGAAGGATAGAGGGGGGAAGGAGGGAGGATAGAGGGAGGGAAAGAGGGAAGGTAGAGGGAGAGGGAAGATAGAGGGAGGGAAGGGGGAAGGATAGAGGGAGGGAAGGAAGGGAAGATAGAGGGAGGGAAGGGCGAAGATAGAGGGAGGGAAGGAGGGAAGGCATAGGAGGGAGGGAAGGAGGGAAGGATAGAGGGAGGAAAGGAGGGAAGGATAGAGGGAGGAAGGAGGGAGAGAGGGAGGGAAGGATGGGAGAGAGGGAGGGAGGGAGTAAGAGAGAGAGAGAGAGGGAGGGAGGGAGGGAGAGAGAGAGAGAGACGAGAGGGAGAGAGAGAGGAGGGAAGGAGGGAGAGAGAGAAGAGGGAGAGAGGGAGAGGAGAGGGAGAGAGGGAGGGAAGAGGGAGAAGAGGGAGAGAGAGAGGAGGGAGACAGAGGGAGAGAGAGGGAATGGAGGGAAGAGGGAGGGAAGATAGAGAGGGAGGAAGGAGAGAGAGAGAGAGAAGGAGAGAGAGGGAGAGAGAGAGAGAGAGAATCCTAATATCAAAAACAGAAAGAATCTAAAATCCTTACCTTTCCTTCTTGGAAAATAAGCTCATCAATCCCATCCTTAACCTAAACAAAAGACAAACAGATAATCCGGAAGAGAAGAGGATTCAATCCCGTTTTCTATGTCTCACGTGGAATTGAAGCAGGTGAGGGGCGGCGGCAGGGAGCGGGTTGGTGACGTCACGAGATTGAGGGGCACGCTCTCCATCAGGGGGTACCACTGGGTGACGGGGCGGCGGGGGCACTCCAGCATCTCGAGCCAGTGGTCACGCCCGGGCCCGATGACCTGTGACCCGATCACCGTCACGCCCAGAAGTTCGTTGGCGCCGATTCTGGTCGGGAGAGGGAAGGGAAAGGGTTAGATTACCTGCCCAAGGGGATCACAGGGGATGGGGAAATGTGATGCTTCCTGGCGGTGTTGAGTTTTTTTTTTCTCTCTCTCTCTTCCATTTTCCTTGTTAATACTATCTTTCTTCTTCCCTATTATTCGCGCTCCTTTGTTTCGCTCGCTTCTGCGTGTATCCCTTTCCTCTCTCTCTTGGGTTTTATTTCATTCAGTATCTCTTCTCTTCCCTCCTCTCTCTCTCTCTCTCTCTGTCTCTCTCTCTCTCTCTCTCTCTCTCTGCCTCTTATCACATTCACTCCCTCTCTTTCTCTCTCTCTCCGCCTCTTATCACACTCCTCCTCTCTTTTCTCTTTCCCTCCCTTTTCTGCCCCCTCTTTCCCTCCCTCTCCTCCCTTCCACTTTTAGGTCACTCGTTATCTCTCCTCTCTCCTCCTCCTCCTCCTCCTGTGACTTCCAGGATCCTATCGAGCGCCCGTCATTAAAAGGAAATGAAATGCCCTGAAAATCTCCTGCTCTCAGTCTCTCTCTTTCTCTCTCCCATTTATCTCCTCTCTCGGGGATTCTAGTCTTTCCTATCTTTCCTACATGTCCTCTCCTTTCTTTACTTTTCTTCTTTTTGTCTCTATTTTTCTTTTCCTTTGTTTTTTCATTATATTTCTTATTCTCTTCGGCTGCGTCTCACTCTCTCTCTCTCTCATCCCTCCCCTCTATCTCTCTCCACTTCCTACCTCTCCCCATCTTTCGCTCACTTTCCCTTACCCTCCTCTCTCTCTTTCCCCTGCCCCTCTCCCCCTACCTTTATCTTAGATTTACTTCCTTCTCTTTTTCCCTTCCCTTCCTTCTTATATTTCTCCCCTCCCCTAGACCCCGTTCTCTCTCTTTTTATCCTTCTTTCTCCTTCTCTCTCCCTCCCTTCCTCCCTCACCCCTTCTCTTCCTCCTCCCCTTCCTCTCTTCTCTCTCTCTCTCTCTCTCTCTCTCTGTCAACTTTCCCTCCAACCTTATCCACTCTCCACCACCTCCCCATCCTTCCTCCTCTATCCATCTCCCCATCCTCCCCCTCTCCCCACTCCCCATGACTCCCCTCTTGCTCCTCTCTCCACCTCCCCATCACTCCCCTCTCCACCTCCCCATCCTTCCTCCCACAAAGACCTACCTATCGTAGTCTACGACCTTGACGAGCAGGGTGACGTCCTCGATATTGTCGTTGGGGATGTCGAACACCAGGGCTTCATTATACACGGGGTTCAGGGTCGATTTCTTCACCGTCGTCTTCTTCTTCTTGATGCGTCGACCCTGGCACAAGAGGCACACTTTCACGTACGGGTCTGGCGGGGAAAGAGAAAAAAAATGGGGGAAAATTATTCAAGTGTTGATTTTTTTCTTGGTTTGTTGTTACTGGCGTTCGTTTTGGTTTATGCAGTTCCTCGTTTTATTTATTTATCTATTTTCTGTTATTGTAGTTCTTAGTTTCGTTGTTTCGTTCTCTGCTTTTTCATGCCTTTGAAATATATGATAATGATTGCATACCCTTTTACTGTGACATA